CCCCCTTGAAGGAGTGATTTAGCATGACAGCTTGTGTTCCCTTAACTGCTCCAGATACTACCTTTGGGAATTACTCCTACCTACCCAAATACATTTGAGAGAGCAGAACATGTATTAGTCCAGCAACAGCCATAAACAGTGTAATTGGAAGAGGTACTTAACAACAGTCTTCCTGCTGGCAGCTCGACAAATAAAGGGGCAAATTCTCCACTGCCCCGATCTCCACTGTCACATGGAGATTATAGCCCCCCCTGAAGAAAGGGCAGAGATGCAGAAACATCTACAACATGAAGCATATTAAGAAAATAAATAATAAAACAGCAAACTACCAAATGAAAACCTCCCTGAAGGAGTTATTTTCAGTAGGCCCTGTGCATTTTCCCCACCAGTTCAGAGTACTTTCTCTTGGTGCACTACGAACCCAGAGCTCTCCTGTTTCTCATGCAGCAGCTCCATCTGCTGTCAAGAAGGCAAGGCAGACTTTGCCTTCCGGCTACTTTTACAGGATAAAACGGGAAACTAACTTTACTAATTTGAAGTATCCCTATAAAGTTTTCAAACGCTCCCCCAGTCAGTCCCCCTGCATAAACAGAACCAGCAGCCAGGCTTCACCTGCCTGTGTAAACCAACTAACCAAAAAGGGTATGACAGGAAATAACAATGATGTGAATGTTGGGATTTTTCACTTCTACACCTTCAGAACTAGTCTTCTCACAGCAGACTGTTGTCTGATTCTTCATTATCTGCAGTCATTTAGTGTTGTGCTGCTCAAAGGTACCATGCTAGCAAACCAGGTAAGGTACTGACAATCACTTCACCCTACATTAAATGTGCCCAGGTATTCACAAACTGTAAGACAGTGAGTCTTAGTTACTTCAGTGGTTTGTTTCAATTCCATAAACATAAAACTATTCTGAAGACCAGCTTCGTTGCTAAGAATTAAAATTCTGTTTCTTTTATGCAGTGCAAGGCCTTGAGAACTCAAAGTTTCCACACTTTGCATTCCTTTACCAGGAGCACTATGAGGAGTTCTGTCCATAACAGAATGGTTGTGGTAAGCCCATGAGTACCTACAGCTTGTAAATACAACCAGACCTGCTCTGAACCTTGCCTCATACTCTTGTATTCTAGGGTTTCTAATATGCCTGCTCTTGATTTAAAAGAAACAAAGACTTATTTCAGACCATAATTACAGCTTTTAAGGAAAAAAATCTTGTTTCACTGAATCCACTGGGGGTTTTACTGTGATTTTAGAAGAGATACAGTTCCGTTATTGCTCTCTTTAATGGGTTTAGGAATAAGTAATTCACAGTACTCAGAATAATGACCCCAGTAATACTGTAATGTTTTCACCCACACTGAAATATTGTCACGTGATAGAATGTTATTTCTCCTATGTATTTTCCTTTTTATTCTTTCCAAGGGTTTTTTAGTGTCTCCAAACTATTCGCAGTCACTAATTTCCAGGTGTGATTGACTCATATGTTGTTGCAGTATCTAGCAGGGATTGCACAGACAGTTTTACTGGTCACCTATGGCACGTCTTCCAGATTCCCAAGCAGTATTTTTGTGTTGATGGCACTGGAAAGCCAGCAAAATGCTGCAGTGCATGGAATGCCCTGTAAATATCACATCTTTCTAGGCTCCTTTAATTCAGATGCTGTTGCTTAACACACATACACACACCTCTTCAGAGTATCTACAGTGCTGGAAATCACCAATGTTACAATAATTTAGTTTCAAATAACTTTGGAACTGAAGCAGTGTTGTTTCCATATCTCTGATGCTGTGAAAGGTGTTTTTTTGCCTGGAAGGTTCTCATTTACTCCAGGAATGGAATGCTGTTAAAAATGCATTCTGAATAACTGCAATATGAGAAATGTTCGTATTTGTTAAGACAAAATCATTTTACCTAATCCAGCAACGTTAACACATTCAATCTATGTAACAAGACTCAACCCTGTGGAGGAATTAAATCTTTCACAGAGGAGTAAATCCTTATGCAAATTCATGATGTTTGAAGCAACAGTTCCCATATATAATGCAATTGTGGAATATAATTATATATACCGAAAATGCCAAAGTGAGATGACAACAAATACTTTGCATTGATTTACCGGTGAACGCAAACCAGAAAGTCAGTCTCTCACAAGAAATAAGGACGCAGCCCTGTGGTGATCACCTACCAGCAAGCTCTGACACCGCCACCACCCCCCTCGATGCAACACTCACAGCGGCACGCAGAGGCTGCCTCCAGACGTGGTTTATAAGCCTCATCCTATTTATACTGTTAAAAAAAGAACCCGAAATAAAGGAATAAATAAAAGGAATAAGGAGAGACCGTTCCCCGCTCACGAGTCAAACATGGCTCCCCTCAGCGAGGGTCCGACCGCGCGCAGGCTCTCTGGGCGGTGCGCAAAAACTCCAACAGGTGGCTCCGTGGCGCAATGGATAGCGCATTGGACTTCTAGAGGGTTGAAGGGATTCAAAGGTTCCGGGTTCGAGTCCCGGCGGAGTCGTGTCTTCTCTTTTTGCGCTTTCTTCTCGTTTTCCCTCCTTTCGGCTGAGACCCTTTTCCACCTCACTCCCGTCTCTTACCTCCCCGCCGGAGCAATCCTGTCCCCCGGCCTGGCGCTTCCCGGCGGCTGGCTCCCTCTCTCCAGCGATGCTCTCCCGTCCCGCCTCCCGGCGTGTCTGTCACAGAGCGGGCGGAGGAAACGAACCCGCCGCCTGCGCTCTGACCTCTGCGCGACCCGGCGACGTCAGAAGGCGCTCCGCCGCCAGCGAGACTGGCGGAAGGGCCGAGGGCGGGCTGGGGGCCCGCGGGAGAAGGGGTCTCCTCATCCCCTGATGGCGGTTGTACACACACCAGAGACCCGCCACAGCGACAGCCCCGAACCGCGCCGCCGGGCAACCGGCACGGCCTGCAGGGAGGAACCGGGCTGTGCCGCAGTGAAGGTCCGTGATACGTTTACGGTTATTTTCAAGCCACAAAACAACGCGTAGATAAACCTGAAGCATTTAACGCTGGAATGAACACCATCTCCACTCCCTACTTTACACGTGCCTAGTGGTAGAAGATGAGCCGTTTTAGCATCAGCAATTAAATAAAATCGGGTGGTAAGGCACTGAAGAGTAGCAGCGCTGCACAAACCTCCTTGATTTTACTCAGGATTGAATCAATTATAAATGAATCTGAATTAAATCATTCATGAATTTAAAAAAAATGAATCAATTTGGGGTTGGGTTTTGTTTGTTTTGTTTTGCTTTAATAAATTGATTTTCATCCTGTATTTGTGACTAAAGATGTTTTTTCAAGCTGTAATAATGTTTATTTAAAAGCAATAAAGGAAAAAGCCATAACTGAAATGGACCCATAACAGAAATTTCAATCCATGACTGAAAATGAAACATGCTGTCTGGAATATTAACTACCACTGTTTTGCAGCACAGTAACCCACTCAAAAATGCTATTTAGCCATATAATAGATATATAGCCCTTTACAGAAACATCAATCTTTATCCTAATTAGCAGATAAATAGCAAACCCAAAACCTATCTACACTAACCCCAAAAAAGCAAGATAAAATGTACCTCCTCATTCGGTCACTTTCAGCAATGTGCTGCAGTCCAAATTCTACTTTTTGCATTTAAGGCTAGCTTCATACAGTTTGCTTAGTTCCTAGTTAATTAAAAATTTGAAGGCAGAATCTTTTACATACACATTTGCGTGTTGCAAGCAGTATTTACACAATCAATACTCTAGGAATGCATTAGTTCATTAAGAGCTTGTAGTAATAATAATGATTGTATCCAAAACTGCAGGATCAAGGAGCAGTCCATTTCACAAACCATGTGTTGATGTATTTGAGTATTTTCAGAGAAATCCAACAAGCTTAAGCAACAAATCCTGAGTTGTTACTTGCTGCTTAACACTATAGCTTGTATTTCTCTTCTAAGGTCTTTCAGAGTTGTAGATTGCGCTCCCCAAGTTGCACTTGAATATCCAGGATGCAACAGGATGACAACTACTGTGGTGCCTTGTTTTCTTTCCTCAGCATCCAGTATTAATCTTTCTGTGCTTCCATGTCTCATCCACAGAAGACACCAGAGTTGTTTTATTGGCTTCTGATCATTTACAGAGAAATGAGATACTAGCATACATGTCACTGCACTAAAACAGCAGCTGTGTGTTAGCTGAGACTTGTGGATAGGTGGTTCTGCTTGCATGTGTTTGATACTTCTCAAGGAATTCACTTTACTTTGCGCACCATTCATCTCCAGGCAGTCAAGACTTCTTAAGGAATCTAGAATCCCATCTGTCAGCAAAACATTATAATCAACTTCAAAAGAATATCCCCTAATGATCAGAGGAAAATTTCCTTCAAGATTCAGTTGGTGATCAATGCATACCATGATGCTTGTTTCATTTGAGCTACTTCCAGCACAAATAGCTAATCCTTAAAAAAACAAACACTCCTCAGGAGTAGAAAATGTCACAGTCAGACACTGCTCAGAAGCATACCTCTCGCTTAAGATCTGCAACCTGTAAGGTTCCATGTTTGTACAATAAGAAAACATTCAACATCACTAGTCCTCCAATAATCACTTCTAATAATCTCACCCAGTGCACCTGAGGCAATGTAGTGACAGTTTTATTTCTTCTATTATGCATCTTTTCTGCTACCTAAGGGCAGTAACTGAGTTACACTAATTGTAACAGCAATATAATAACCAGGTCATTGAAAACCAACCAAATGCCACAAGAGTTCTAACAACCATAAAGGTTATGAACTGTCACTAAAGGGGAAATGAGTTATCTCTGGTTCTGTAAAGGTAACCTCCAAGCTCACTCTCTTTACTCCAAGTCAGCTACCAGACCACAACCTGCACACTACAGCCTAGACAATGGATCCTGCTGCCAAGATATCTTCTGAAAGATCATTAGACAATAATTAAATGGCCCAAACTTATAAAAGCAATATATGACAATCTCAAAATTGTATATATTACATATTTATGTTGTTTTATTCATTAAACAATATATAATGTATATATTCTTTATTACTTCCCTATATTTATTTATAAATTATGTATCTCTACGTATCTGAAAGCAAGCATATGTGTGTATGCTGATTCCAGGACACTCTCAAGTCCATTATGGTCAGTGTTAAAATAAACACTTCGCAACCAAACTACTTCTCAATATTTCCTATTACAGAATTGGCCAGCAGGAGCTCTGACAAGATATGGAAAAATCTGTTCCGGTATGTAACGGGTCCCAAGGTGAATTATAAACATGATTTTAAACTGAATATACCAATTCACTGATGCAAAGACTGAAGGCTGAAAAGACCACAATCCATGCAGTTGGGTTTTGTGCTCAGATTTAACCATATGCTTTCATATCATTATCTTTTTTTACAAAAAGATTAATTTCAATTAAAAATATTTAGATTTTTAAATCTCAAGCAATTTCAAATTTAGATACCTTGTAAGTGGATAAAGCTCCCTACAAAACATTCTTACTGCAAGAAATCCTTAACCCACAATGTGCACATGACCTGCAATCTTCAAAAAGAAAAACCACCACAAGCAAAGCATTCTGTAAAAAGTTTTATACCAAGAAGTTGTTCCACCTTTGTTATTTCTCTTCGTCTTAATTGTGAAATTTCTTCTTTTTCCGATTCCTCTTCCCTGCTGCAAAAGCTGCTTTTTCACTCATGATCTCCTGATACTTCTTTTTATTATATCTGAACAAAATAGGTAATTTACTTTTAAGCATGGTGAAACAAAGTTCAGGAAAAAAATAACATGGAAAGTACTCTACATACGTCATTTGCCAAACACAGTTCTCTCACATTTTCCAAGCCAGATTTCTTTAATTTTATACACTTCTGCACAAGTAAAAGGGAATCAATGCTTGGATTAATGATAAATATGGGTAAATGTGTTGTGGAAGTAAATTTGATTAAAAGATCATTAATTCTGGCATAACCAGGGAGTTGTTCATTGCACCTACAATAACATTTCGGAGAGTTACCCAAAACACTGCTACTGCTCATCAGTTCTGAAAATACCATGGATAAATTATACCCATCTTTATGCTGCCTTCTCAGCAAACTCAAATTATCAACTTTACTCAAGACTGAAAACAATGAAACACTAAACAATGAACAGGACATACTTACTGAACATGAATTGCTAGCTCCTCTAATACAGCTTTTTATATACGTGTACCAATTACCATAATGGATCACTGCGCAGTACTTAGGCTTTGAACCACAACAGTAAAACCTGACTAATACCTGTACTAATGCTGACATATCTGGTTAAATCCTTTAATGAGCCACACCATAAATTAACTGATTAAATTTCAAAGACATCAATTGATTAAAATAGTTTCTAACAAATCTCATAAATCAGGTCAAGCTAGCTAGGTCAACTAGGTAAGAAATAACTACATGAACTTACCTTCCTAACATAAATAGTTAATTTACAAGCCTGACAACATTAACCTTAAAATCCCAAATCAGGCACTGCTTCCAAGACACATGTTCTTATGCGAGAAAAAAAATGCATGTTAATATCGTGTAATAACCAATGTAAAAACGTATCAACTAAGGGATATACTCCAGAAATTGTAGGTTAGGAAGACATTAACAAATCCAATCTATTCCTTAAGTAAGGCTTCTACTGCAGTTTTGATTCCTATGACAGATGGCAGACTGACATGCTTATAAAAGGAAATCATACCAACTCACATAGAATTACAGTCAGCACTTTTCATTTGGATAAATTATGGCAAGAAAAAATGATATTTAAACAATGAAAACAAGTGCATGTGTAGGCATAAATCACTTAAGAGTCCTAGATCTGTGGTGTAAGCCTGTGCAGACACTTATTTTAGAGGTGAACCAGAACGGGGCTGATATGTTATCTCTTCAACGCTGATGGTATTTTAAGAGTGTCTGCCAATAGTGATGACCTGAGTTGGAGAAAACCCTTTTCTGAAGATAAAATATGCTGTCTCAGTCTAATTATCCCCTGTCCCTTAGATCTTCTCAATGGCAGTACTGGTGAAGTGCTAAAACAGACTAAAAAGTTTTCTTTGAAATATTAAAAAAACCCCCACATAAATAGTAAACAAATGCAAATTCTAGTTATATCAGTTATATCTCTATATATAGTTATATCAGAACTACAAACCCATGTTTAAATACCTTCTGAACTCAGAATCTGCCAGCAGCTCTTCAACAATCGTTCTCTTCCTTTGTTTCTTAGGGATTCGACTATGGTAAAAGTCTATGGGAGAATCAACCACGGTTCCAACCTAGAATACAGAAATGAAACGTTCGCACTGTACAGCAAGATGTTGATTATGCTGCCCTGTTGTTTTCTTTAATCCTCCATGACAAGTATAAAGGTACCTCCAGAGAAGATCACTGGCAACATAAGAAAGTGTAAAATAGTAAAATCAAGAAGTTTTGTTTGCAGATACCATTTGTGTCATTGTTCAGTGCACAGAGGAAGGTCTGAGCTTTAAAACTCTACAGTTTTTAAACACTGGACTGATGCATCAATGCTTGTATTAAAAAAAAATCCAGTTCTTAACTTCTGAACGTTTCCCCAGGGAGGGAAAGGAAACCCTTAACAACCATCTTAACTGCCTCCGTCACTGTGGTGGGTTTGCTCGATGGCTACATAGCACTTAATCCAGCCCTAATACAAGGGCTTCATTCTGGAATGCATCCCATTGTTTCCGACCAGCTATTCTGATGATTCAGGTCGGTAGTGGAAATAGATGGAGTCCGTGTTCCATGCAGCAAAGGCAGACCTGCACAGATCTCATTATGTGGAACACTTCCATGTTAAGTTTTTCTATGTCCAGAATTGTCAAACCATACACCAAGACCCACCCTTCAGAGTGAAGTGCTAATAGTTTGAGAAGTTAAGCCAATTTCCTCAAACATGGTCCCTATTCAAATAGGCCTGAGCCAGTGGAAGCCCATTTCTATAGTTTCTTCATGTAAACCACCTCAAAGCTCTCAAGGTCCAGCAGCAGCAATTCTGGCTGATCGCAAAGCTAGCTGTCTCCATTCAAACTGTATTAGCTAGTAAGAAAATCAAAGCTACTTGTTTTCTACACACTGGTTAAAAAAGGCTAATACTTGAAAAGATCTAGTCCCCTGAGGCTTCAGAATACAGATTAAGTCAGATATTTGTTTGCTACAATGAGATCAGATGAATTTAAAAAAACAAAAACAGCATATACACATATGTAATACAAAGTTAAGTTTTAAACTGAGCCAAGTAATGAAAATACCTTACGAATTAACTTATGAAATTGTATCACCATGGAGGCTACCTGCAAATTAGGCAGGGAAGAAGAACAGCTGCTTAAAACATCAGCAGTGCAATGCCACCTTCTGCTGCTTCCTTACCTGGAAGTACTTGGGTAGACCATCTCTATCATTTTTCTTATAAAAATGCTTCGGGTCCAGCGAAGCTCTCATCTTCAAGACTTTCAGATCATTCTTCAGTTCAGTTGTGATTTCTGGGGCTTTCATACCAAACCAACTATCACCTGTGGTCTTCTCTCGCTCTGCCTAGGATGCAATACCAAGAACAATAAACATGCCTTCAGCAACCAGGAGACGATAGAGCAGGGAACTCTCCCCTCCAAAAGATATTTAGAATTTAACTCTGTCCCTTTAAGAAGTATTTTTAATGGCCATTATAATAAGGTTATTGACACAGTACAAATCTGTCATTAATATAATCTGAGCACTTTCACTTCACTCCGTGCTTTTCATGGGACGGCTAAGGAAGACATTAAACAGCACCACTTCCAGTGAGGCCAGTGTATGCACAGTCTGAGCACGGGCTCTCTCCCAAAGCTTGTGTTGCGATTTGAGGCATGATCAGCTCTTCACTTACCCTGCGCTGTTTCTTTAGCTGGTGAAGTGATTCCCTGTAGGGTGGGACACATTCCTTCTTCTCAAAATCTGGAGTTATTACACTCTTCTGCAAGAGCTGTAAGATTTATAACATGAAACACTGATACAAATCTACTGCACAACAGTAGGTACAGAACCTTCTAAAGGAATCATGCAGAACCTCAGCACGTGAACTTCCTTCATCTACAACGAAAGTACTAAGGATCTTCCCAACGGAACCCTGGCCAACAACAGAAAGCAGCTAGCTAGCTCTGGAGATAGCAAATGCTCTGCAATAAACAGAGCTATCATAGTTGAGCCTACAAAGACCGCCCTCATGAAAATAACACATTCCCTTTATCTCAAAGGGTGCTCTTGAAATAAAACTGCTCGCTCCAGACTGGGAAGATTACAGACCTTTATTTACTGAAATCCATTATTTCTACAGAATAAACACCTTGTCAGAAGACAGCTCATGTACCACTAGGCAAAACTGCAGGAATAATCAACTTGGGTTTATTCTACAATGGGAGGGGTGGCCGACACGCCAGAAGGCTGTGCTGCCATCCAGAGGGACCTGGACAGGCTGGAGAGCTGGGCGGGGAATAACTTGATGAAATATAACAAGGGAAAGTGTAGAGTCCTGCATCTGGGCAGGAACAACCCCAGGTTCCAGATAGGCTGGGGAACGACCGTTAGAGAGCAGTGTAGGGGAGAGACCTGGGGGTCCTGTGGACACAGGGTGACCATGAGCCACACTGCCCTTGTGGCCAAGAAGGCCAATGGCATCCTGGGTGTATTAGAAGGGGGGTGGTTAGTAGGTCGAGAGAGGTCTCCTTCCCCTCACTCGCCCTGGTGAGACCCATCTGGAATATTGTGTCCAGTTCTGGGCCCCTCAGTTAAAAAGGACAGGGACCTGCTGGAGAGAGTCCAGCGCAGGGCAACTAAGATGATAAGGGAGTGGAGCATCTCCCTATGAGGAAAGACTGAAGCTGGGTCTCTAAGTTAGAGATTGAGGGGTGACCTTATTAGTGTATATAAATATATAAAGGGGGAGTGTCAAGGATGGAGCCAGCTTTCTCAGTGGCAAACAATGAAGGACAAGGGGAATGGGTACAAATGGACACAAGAGGTTCCACTTAAACTGAGAAGAAACTTCTTCTCAGTGAGGGTGACGAACACTAACAGGCTGCCCAGGGGGTTGTGGAGTCTCCTTCTTTGGAGACATTCAAAACCCGCCTGGACACGTTCCTGTGTAACCTTATCTAGGTGTTCCTGCTCCGGCAGGGGGATTGGACTAGATGATCTTTTGAGGTCCCTTCCAATCTCTAACCTACTGTGATACTGTGATACTGTGATACAAGATAATGCTGGTATTTGCACTGCTTTCAGTTTCCAAAGTGTCGCGTCTATTTAAATTCTTACCAATAAAAGTAGAAGTAAATCCACACTTTGGACAAAAAGAACGGAAGTTCTCAGCAAATCATAAAACTGGATACTTCTTTAAATACAAGTAAACCCACCTTATTAAACTAACATCTTTGTGTTACTGTAGTCACATTAATTGAATCAATTGCAAACACACTACCTGGTCCTTCTGTTTCTCCTTCAGTTGTTTAATTGCACCCAATTTAGACTTCTGGTTTTCTGCATCAAAACTAATATATAAGCCTCCAAGCTTCTTGATATTCAAGCCAGGGTCTATGCTGGTGGAAAGACATAAACTGGAAGAGAAATAGTTACTGATTAGTACATTGTAACAAGCATGCACCTGCACCTCCTACTGTCCTCTAAGATAAACTCATTCTTCTTGCTTAGGTTCAGTTCTACAATGGCTTTAAGTCTTACTATCTAGTAAATAACTTCAGGTGACAGATTCGAGGGGGTAATATAAATTGCGAGGCTATTAAAGAACAGTATCTGTGCAATCACATCCACAGATCTTTCCTATTAACTCTAATGCTGCATTCCTATCTTAGATATTACTATCTCCTACAAAAGTGAATTCTTCATTTGCTTCACTTTGCCAAAAGAACTCATGAGCAGCACACTACTTCTATACAATGAGAGGCTTGCGAGCTAAAACTAAAAGGAAAACCACCACAAAAGCACAAACATATGAGTGGTAAAAATGTTGTCAGCTCTTAGGGAAAATGAAAAGAAGCTAGAATTCATCCTAAGAATGTTTAAGACCTTTATTGTTTAAGAGTACCAGGAATAACGTCATTAAACATTTCAAAGCTGGTTTGTTTCAGTTTCTCATTACTTCAATCAGGCAGCCAAAGGCATCTACAAAAAGGAGACAATGGCTGCCTCAGAAGGAGGTTTTTGATGACAAGAATGCTTAAAAGCTGTAAAGTATTACAGAGAAATATGGTATGACAAATATTTCTTGTAGCCTGAATGCTTAATACAAACCCATCACACCTTTCTAGTATACTGTGACTAATCTTCTATAATGCCTTTACACGGAGTTTTTGTAAGACTTCTGGCCTACCTGAAGGTTTTTAGAAGATTAATAAACAAGACTTATTTATCCAACCTAAACAGAGCACTATGCTTTAAATATATAAAGCATATAAAGAGGTTTCAGCAGGAGTTGGACTACAAGAGCTCAAGATGTCCCACCCCACCTAAATTATTCTGTGCTGGGCTGATTTCACTTGAAGTGTCTTGTTTCACAGCACAAGAACTGAAAACATTATTAAAGGATATGAAACTATTTAAGATTAAAAAGCATGATAAAATTAGCCAATGTGTAAAGAATTTACTGGACTTTGTGTTATTGATATCCAAACTAAACACACAACTAAGAAAACTACAACCCAAACAAGCAATTAAGTCAGCCATAGCAGTCTAACCCGGTTTCACACTCTGGTTTCTAAGCTGAACGCATACTATTTCAGACAGTTCTGTTCTGCTACACACAGCACTGAAAAAAAAAACCAACCCAAACTCTCCAATTATGGACTAAACTGGTACATGATAATCTGTTCAACCCCACTTCACATATCGATGACTTACGTGATGAGCGACTACTTCCTCATTTACTCCACATCATTTAATGTACATCTCTTACGCATATGCTTGAATGAAATGCGGATTCTTAAGTTACTGCCAGAAAGATACTTACACATCAGTCTTATTTTTCAATAAATCATCATCTTCTTCTTTCTCATCTTCATCTATCAACTCCTCTTCAGCCTCTTCCAGATCTGACGATTCTTCACTTTTTTTACTTCCCTCATGCTTACTTTCAGCATCACTGCCTTGGTCAATTTGATCTAGGTAATACTTTCGGTCAGAACTTATGCCAGGCTTGGTATCAATTACAAAAAGCCCTTCCGCATCCAGTGAACTGGTTTCTAAAGATTTGCTGAGGGAAGGAGTCGTCTTATCTGCCTCTTTATAATACAGATTCTCTTCAATTTTATCTGTGTCTGCCACAGCACTATCTTCAAATTCATCACTTTCATCTTCGGCCAGAAACAATGCAAGGGAATTATTTTCACTGCTTGGAATTTCACTGCAGTGAGGTACAGGTTTGGCATATTCTCCTGCTTGATCTTCAGCACTATCCTCGCTGCTTTCAAGCATCCTGCATCCGCTAACGCTGTCAGTTCCTTGTGCAACAGCTTCATCCTTCTGTGGACTCCTCACTTCAGTAGCTTGCTCATCCTTTCCTAAGTTACCAGCATGGGTGAAAGGCTGCTGTGGATCTGCCTCAGCACCCTCTCTTTTGCATTCTGGATCTTTTTTATCTTTATCTAGTGTTATTTGCCCTTGGAATTCTAAAAATTGTTTGGGACTCACACTATCAGAGAAATTCATGTGCTCTAACTTTTCCACCCTCACAAGGACTTTACTGTAGTTTTCTTGTACTTGGCCACGTGCTTCCTCTGAATCATCAGCCCCAACAGACTGTGTATTTTTAATTGCTCTTTTCTCAGGTGATTCACTGTCACTTTGTTTCATTTCTGTAAGACTGCTGGGTGTCACATCATGCAAAGACTCTTCTTTCATGCCTTCACCCTGGGTTGTATTGGCAGATTTGAAGGAACATTTGCTTTTAGGTGAACTGGGTTCTTCATTACCCTCAGTGACAGGGGAAGCATCTTCTGTGTCAGAAACAAGTTCTGCAGCTGGTCTAGAATCAGAAATGCCAGGCTCAGATTTAACAGTGTCCTCAGTTAAATTCTCATCTTCTGAAACAATTATGTTTCCCTTCTCAGCCTGCTTAGTATGTTCTGCTTCTGATTTGATCTCCATGCTCCTAGTAACTCGTCTGTTAGTGATGGATGGTTCCATATGAGAGCTTAAGCAGCATGAGTCTGCATCGGAAATATCTTCACTCTGGGCTTCATGAACTGTATCTGGCTGCAACCCCTTTTTGCTTCGCCTGCTTCTCGTAGTCCTGGTAACAATGGAGGAACAAGACTCAGCTTCAGAAACATCATCTTCATCCGGAATCCCATTTAACTTATTTAGAAAAGCTGTCCTCTTGTATCTTCTTTTGTCAGGAGAATCCGGCTGATAAGGAACTACAATTTTTCGTCGTCTTGTTACCCTTATAAACAAAGGTGTCTGAAGACCAGATGCAGCAGAGCAGTTTGATTCTGCTTCTGACACATCCCCGTCAGCTTGTGGTTCAGCAACTGATTGTACTGAATGGACAGTTGCGTTCTCATTTCTAGTCATTTCCACCTCTAAGCTATCCCCGACATTTGACTTTGTTTCTGCATGTTCCAACTCTTCAAGCTGAGATTCCTGAATTACGTCTGGCTTACAAATGGATCTAGTTCTTCTCCTAGTCATCCTCACAGACACAGGAGTACAGAGTTCAGCAGCTGCCATCTACAAATGGAGTAAAAAAAGTAAGTGCACTATTAACTGACAAAATAAACCCATAAAAAGGATGCTATGCAAATTACTAATAACCTCCTTAAAGAACTCTACTCAAGCTGACAGCATATTGCATGTCTCTATGTGGAAGAAGTACTAAAAACCATCCTGTGCTCATGCTTGTCTACTCTCTTTTGGCCAAAGCTGAAGAAGAACACATTTGTCCATTATGAAATACAGACAAGTATCTTCTAATTCTACAAGTTCTGGCAAGCTGGGAAGGGAAAGAATTTCAGAAGCCATGTGCAGAAACGTGACAAGATCTGCTTATCTATAAAACACTGAAGCCTAGGAAATGGCAGGATGTGCCCCCAAATAGTTTCTCTAACCAGTTTTAGCAGTTTTAGGTACAGACTGGCCTCTCGGCAACCGCAACACCAGGTACCGTCTGCTTCTTTAACGATGCTTCTAGCGCCCTGGAAAGCAATTCACGGTCTGGGAAAGAAAACACACGGCGACAGCACGCTCTTCCCAAAGCGCAGAACCCCCCTGGTTCAACACACACCACGCTGCCTCCAGATCAGTATTTACCAAGTGGAAAAACCACAGAGAACTACTAAAACAGCAGCAGTACACAGAAGAGCAACGTCATCCCTTATCCTTTACCCCTAAGCCGTGTTAACAGGTTAACAACGCACCCCGCTGCGGCCCCAGCCCCGCTCCGCAGCCGTCCCGCACCGCGTGTGGCAGCGTGTGAAGATGGCCGCCACCGCGCTGCCACAGCCCGCACCGCGGCTGCCCGCGGCCGCAGCCCCGGCCCCGCTCACCTCCCCCGCTCCGGCGGGCTCACTCTCAACCCCGGTGGGGCTGCCACCTCCTCCCCCGGCCGGCGTCCCCGGCTGCGAGCGCCGCGCCCCTGCCCGCCTGGTGACCACCATCTTGTCCTCGCGCCCGCCTCTTCCGCCCGCCCTTCCGGCGGCTGCCCCTGCCCACAGCGTCGAGCCGCGCTCTGAACGCAGATGACGCGCGGATGGGCGCACCGCGGCGAGCGGAGGCGGGGACGCACGGGCCTGGATCACGTGAACCGCCGGGAAAGGCTGATGACCAAATGTGAAATAGCGGGACTGCGATGAGGAGAACTCATACAAAGCACAGAGGTAAAAGCCTACAAGAATTTCAACTTTTAATTCAAACTTTCACGTTACGGAAGGAAATCCCATCTCTCTGATGCCAAACAAGTCAATGAAATAACTTGATAAAATGTTGTGCTGTCAGCAGCTCCCAAAAAATCATCTCTTAGAATCACCATGTCTCAAAGGGTGCTTTTCTACACAAGCAAACTGTCAACAGTTTACAAAAAGGAAATAAATAATTACCTCATTAGTGCAGCCTATGCCTTTGAGCACAATTCTCGTTTTGTAGCATCTCCATTTATAAAACTGAGCACACATGCAAGCAATACAATATCCAATGTCAGCAGCCAAACAGAGACAGAAGGTACAGGTAGTGGCTAGCAGCAGCAGCACACAACTCAAAGCTGGCAGAGAAGTTTAAATGACACGTATTTGAGATAAAGTAACCCAGCATTTTAAAAAGACCACATTTTGGTTAGGATTAATAAACCAACCAACCCAACCCAAATGTTTATTGATGCATTATTAGTTCCAGTTCCCCATCTCTCTCATTGATCATAAGACCTGAAGAAGTCCAGGAAAATTTCCCCGTATTTGCCACCTCCAGCTATTTAGGACTCAAAACTTATCTCAAATATTAAGCTTTTACCTTAGTGGAATGGATTATAGGAAGCTGACACTCTAAACACTACCTACAGGCATTCAAATGCCACTAGCTGCCTACATGACAATTGGAAAGATATTAGTGAAAATTCATTCCCTTTAAAGCCCCAGTCTCAGAATATATACAACTAAGTTAATGAGTTCTACTCATATGAAGTCCTGCTCATGCTTGAAATCAAAAGGAAAAATCAGTATTTTAGACACTCAGTCTCAAGCTCCTGCTGAACTGCAAGTTGAGCTTTTGCTGCCTATACTGATTCAAATGCCTTTCCGATGGAAAAACTACATTAAACAAGAAGCCTTGCCTTAGCTGCAGCAATCTGTCTAGGATTCAAAAGCCAGTTTGCTAAGTGACAGAAATATACCTAACTTGAAGCTAACCCTTATTGCATCACTCCTGAATGGCACTCCAGCAATGAAGTTTCTTGGGCAGCCTCAAAAGAAGCCCTTTAGCAATCCTACCATGAATAGCTTCAGCATTTGCTGTTCTGACTTGGCCCATCCTGATTGTGGAGTTCACAATTGTCAAACACAGAAGCCACGGTGAGAAGACAGGCACAATTCAGTTTCTGATTCACAGATTTTGTCATTGCTTGTTTGCAATGCTTATTAGAAACATTCACACAACAATACATTTTTCTATTTCAAACAGCAAAGATGCCAACACACATGTGCAAACACTAAACAAAGCACAGAGCAGTCAGAAGGAATTCAAGTAACAGACAAAGTAATTGGGAAGATGCATTTTTCCTAAGTCAGGAAATTAAACAGCTGACTTGCCTATATATACATACCAAGTCATGAGATACCAGTTGTATTTTTCTGGGTAATTTTTCATAAAAGATTATCATTTTCTATAAAAATCAGTCCTTGAACGCTTGAAATCCATGTACCTACCAGGCAAGTAACTCTTATTTAAGAGAAATTAATTATTTTTAAATAAAAATATATATAAGTTTCTCTCTACTACCTAATGGCAGCTACAATACAATGATAATTTTACAGTGAACTGGTCATAAAAAGTATTTAAAACTGTTTTGCTGTCAGTAATTCAAACTAAACCCCAATATTTCATCTTTTCAATTAACTGGTCAATAGGTTAAGTAAGAAAAATAGCGTTAGAGCACTGTCGACACTCCTGCTGACATTACACTGAGTAATTACAACTTTTGGTCTTTGTTACAAATAATGTAAAAGTGTTTCTACGAAAAAAAGCAATGCTTCCCCCATCCCCAAGGAACTAAAACAGTAAGCCATTAAGGAAAATAAGTTTTTTAAAAGGAATTCCTTTTAGCTTGCATGATATAGCCTTTGGACTTGATAATTCCTCTGCTTTTAACAATGACGGAATACCGGAGGAGCCATAAAGGAATCCACTCGTGTGCTTTCGTGTCCTGGATGCTTTCCTGAAGAGCTTCTTGGAAACTTGCTTCACAAAGTAATTCTGAAGTTAAAAAGGGATATTCATGGTTTAAATCATGTCATGTAAACAGCTGCAAAAAGCAACACTTTCAATAAGAGAAGCCTTTTCCTACAGTCAGAAATCTTAAGCAGTGCCAGATGCTCCACAGATCCACTCTTCTGGAATGCACATATGGTGAAAGCAACTGCATATTACTGAAGCAATCTTCAGGGCACCTTTGTTTGTTTCAACATTAAGTATATCCTCCAAAACTGAGATTTCTATGGTATCAAATGGAGTTGATCAGCACAGCCATTAGCAGGAGGAAAGTAAAATTTGAGAAGCTAGCTAGACAAACCATAGGTGGGTAAGACATACGCCCACGATCAGCCAAGTACTGCACGTTCTCAGTTACCTCTGCAGTCACTGAAAGCTCAACACTTACAGCATCTCCCATAACTGGGCTCATAACAACTGCAAGTCCAGAAAGCATTAAAAAAAATGGGCTTAAACTCCACAAAATGAAAGAGCAAGTCAAATACAAATCCTCCTGGTTTCCTCTGGAAAGCCAGCCAAGGGAACAATCTCTTTGATGAGGAGTGTTCCCAGAAGATAGGTCTGAATACTCTTCATCTGACCATTACAGAAAAGTGAAGCTTAGCAAACAGTGCATAAGGGAATCATTATTTGCTTTGTTTTCTATCCAAATCCTCCTCTTCAGGTCATGACTCTCATATTTATTAAATTAAAAGTTGCAACTTGGATTTCACAGGACATGGAAATGGTCAGACTGAATGGCAATTCATCTTGTACGCTGACAAAGCACTGCTGATACATACTCAAGCAGTGGTGAAATTAATCAGTTCTAACAGTGGTACTATAAAACATGTAATTAATAAATAGTATTTCATACACTTTTTTTTTCAGGGGGGGATGGGAAGAAAAAGAGAAGAAAAATATGATCAGCAGGAATAAGGTCATAAGGAAGGATGCAGGGAAGGAATTAATTGAATATTGTTTCAGAGCTCTCGCAATTCCAGCAAGCTATATAAGGTGTCATTATAGTGAAGAAGATTAGGTGATGTTTGAGAGAAACTAATCCCAGAATATTCTTAGGGAGCTGGTAACTCAGAACTCCCACGTCTAAAGAAAACTCTCCAAGTCCTTCAGTCATTCAGTAAATTAATGCACAAACCAAGAATTTACACCAACTCTTTTTGTAATATTGGTATTTTACAGATCCCTACTTTGAGAGAATCCTGCTTAAAGCATAGTAATGTTACAGATCTAACATTACCAAACCACTCGAAGATCAACTGACCAACATTTCTGTGCAAGCTCTTTCACAGACAAGTTCTGGACAAGTGGACTTTCATTTGTCATTTACTGACCTTCAGCAACAGAACTGTCATTTCATTCTATGCTTTGTGGAAAAGAGCTATGTTTATTTTTGAACATACATAGTACAGAGTTCTCAGTAGTTTTTTCTTCTGTTTATTTCAATAAACTATCCAAGGATGGAAGATTGCCCTTCCTCTCCTTTCTTGAAGGAAAAGCAAGAACTGAATGGAATTATTTTATAAAGGAAGATCTTTTAGAATCCTTGGTTCAGTATTCAAATGCAATGAACGCTAAGTTCAGAGAAAGATTATTCCCAATTTTGTACTGAATAATGTACTCAGAAGTCTTCCTTCAATTTATCTGGCAAAGCCTTACCTTTTGGGTCATTGTGAGTTAACAGCTGTATGTCAAACTGTTTTGCAAATGCTGTGAGATCAGGTGGCATCACACAACAGGAAGCTAGGTTCACCTGATTACTACTCGGTTTTACCTGAAAGTAACAAATACTTTTATAAGAAAAACACATAAATGTACTCATTTGAGTTGTTTCCCTTATGCCCTTTATTACAACAGGAAGTCTTCTTTAAGCAATTTGTTTTGAGGTCTCTCAACAAGGCTAAGTAAGTCTGCACGATGGTCAACAGGCGACTCCTGTATCTGCAATTTCCTGCAGCACAGAGCCCAAAACAAGAATAGGATCTAACTTCAGATGTTGCCACAGCAAGATGAATACTAACCCATTCTGGTTTCCCATCTGCTCTACTCCCTGAACAGCAGCATTTCCCCCCTTCCACCTCAGTAAAAACATAAGATGGACATGAGTTTGATAAACACTTTAAATAAAAGGCAAATAAACTTTTTTAAGGATATATAATTTGCAGTCTTCCATGCCTGCAGGGTTAAGTTAAAAGGGATGCTCTTCCACTGACTCTTTCTGCTAGTCACAAACTGCACCCATGACCACCATGCAGATGGCTGTTAATCCCCTCAATTATCCTCCTCAGTACACACAAAACAGCAAGGAGGACAAATGAGGACTCTCAGCAGGACCTCTTCTGCAGACACAGAATGTTCACATATCACAAGAAATGTTATAAAAGGAGTATTCAAAGAACGAGTAAGGCAACAATAAATCCTTACATGAGCATGGAGACATACTAGTACACACATCCATCACTCTAATGGAAAGAGCGATTAGTCACATTGGACAACAAAATGTTGTGCCACTTCATTCATAACCCGTTTTCCTCTTTACATTTAAACTTAGCATTCAAACAGCATCTTTCTAAGGGGAAATCCCTCCATTCATAACACAGCTTGAAGTGAAAATAGCAGTTTTCAGAGTCACTGGAATAAATCTGGAGGTTTAAGAGTGCTGTTTATACTCGTTACTAAACATAAAAGCATTCAAAAACCAAACCTTCACTACTTCAAAGAATCTGCTATTGAACAGACTTGTGGTTGCCAGCCTTTGTTGGCCTGTATCTAAAAATACCAAACAACGGACAGTCACACTTTGAGCCTCCCCTACCACGAACAAGGCTGTGACCATCCATAAAATGCTAAAAACAGGGCTAACAAATATTTTGTATATAGACCCCTTTCTAACAAAAGTTTATAAAAATGTGGCAGTCAACAAAACCAACAGTTATGCTGTGCTAGAAATCCTACAAATAGGAAGTTTGTTCTCACCTGTGCCCAGAGATACAGCTGTTCTAACAGTGTTTTATCGAGGTCAGAGGTACCTATGGCGATAATCTTGTTGTTTTGAACTAGATTTTCAAGTTCTTGCCAATAAGGCTGCAAATACTCCAAGGAGAAGCTAGTTCCATCTTCAACAGGAGGTGGGGCAATAATGACTGAGTCTAACTGAGCCACGCCGAGGGCAGAACATGCTGAGGAAAAAGAAGAGACACTGCAAAGTCTTTGGTGAGTTAACAACACCAGCATCATGACTCAGCAAAACCCACGCCTCCTGCCTCACTCTGCTAGCTTCCCTTTCACAGTTTCAAACTCTTCAGTGTATCAGCAGTCAAGGATAGCAACAGACTGGATTTAGAAAAGAAGCAAACATACAGCTGAAAGCCAAGGTTCAGTTGTAAGTCTTGGGGAAAACAAAAACATTACCAAAGCAAGCCTGAAGCTTCTTTCTCTTTTTCAGTGCTAAAACTGTTTTTCTCTTAAGGCAGTGGGGATGTGCAATTTTTGATGCCTTCACTCTCACTTCCTTCCAAAATTTTTAACTTTCACTATGAACTCTAACTCAAATACAGGGTATGGACTAGGAGGACTATTCGCTCTATGGGCGGAGTTAAGACTAAAGCACACTAAACCTGGGGATTTAAATTGCCAGAGAAGTGGCAAGTCTCAGAATATCACTGAGCTTTAGCAAAGATTAAAGTCATGAGGCCTCTTCTGCAAAGCAAAAAGAAGAAAACTAAGTAGCTAAATAAATTATTTTCTTCTGGAAGAGAATTCTATGCATGCATTTTTAACAAATGATACCACAACTTCCAATAAAGAGGCTATTAACTGGAGTATTGACAGAGAAGAATTACATTGACCCTCTGTTCTTCGGTAACACCGTATGCCCAACCATCTTCCAAAGTAATAAAGTTCAGTGCTGCTCACGATTACTGTTACCATAGACTAACAAAACTTAATGTATCAATGCAGCCATTATTTTCATTAAAACTATTTCAGCAGCTGATTGCAGCATTGTTTTACTTCTTAAATAATCTCTGAAATACTGCACAGTTAGTAGCAAAGTTCATCATGTTAAAAACTGGCAAATAACATCCAGCTGGTATGAACTATTTTACCACTTATTACTCCAATATCACATGCTATTAATTTTTTAACAAGTTTTGAGTGAAAGAATAAAAGCTTGATTTTTTGGGGCAAGCAATCAGATTTGCGTTTGTGAAGCCAAGGTTACAGTGATCCACGTTTAATAAGTTTGCTGACTGAACTAATGCATATATAGACTTTTATAACCCAAGTCTCTCTTAATTAGAAAAGAGGATATACTGTGGCAGTCACTAAACACATCTCTTGTATGGAAAAGATTCTGTTTCATTTCTAAAGTAGTGAAGCATAGAGAAACCCTCCCAGAAGTTTGAGTTTCATGCTTACCCAGGTCAACTGCATCTCTGATCGATGAAGAGTTTGATCCAACAATGAAAAGTTTTGCTGTTTTCAAAGAAATAGTAATCAGTAACTAAACACTATTATTAAACATACAGCTATTTACTTTTCCTATATACAATTCTTCTTGGGTAAAGGGTTCTTAGAATATACACCATTACTATAAAAATTGGGGAAAAATAGCCTTCTGAAAGGTGACTGCCAATTAAATACACTATTCTAAAACTTCAAGGTGGTTGTGCAGTCTCAAAACAAGAAGTCATTCAGTTGGATGGTCTAATAAACTCTAAAGCTGGGACTTCAGCATCAAGACAGTAAGCAATAACCATAACAACCTGTATAAAACCCCAAATGTAATAGCACAAATGGACCTCTTCACAACGTATTGAGACTCAAGTAGCCTTGTGTTACTGCACTGTCTCCTTCAAGTTCATCATATTCAACCTAGAGAAATTATACAAATGAATGCGCTTCCATTCCTATGTCTTAATTCCAGTGTTACCTGTAATATTTTGCTTCAGAAAAATCAAAGGTTGACAGAATACATGTAAAATGTCTTGAAGGAATGCAAGTTAAACTACAAAAACACTGAGGTGCTTTAAAACCTGAAATATGAATTCAAGTCTCTCTTAGCCAACTTTTGGATTATCCAAAGTACAACAGTATGCACTGATGTCATTTGACTTTGCAACTGCAAAACATGGGGGGGAATATACATAGATGAATATCCTAATGACTGCATGTGAAAACTTACTATGCCACCATATTTTTTACTACATCCTTACCTGACACTTTCAACTCATCCCTTTCTTCAGGGTTTATTTTTTCTATAGCTTGAGCTACTGTACATTCCAGAACCTCCAGTATTTCCTGCAGTATAAATACACGAGACTTAGGAACAAAAAAATCAGGAAAGTCTGGGAAAATTTCATCCTCTGACCTCATTTAAGACAAGGCTGACATCTCATGCTAGCTGGCACAAGGTGACTTTTTAAAGTCTTGACCTACATTAGACGTTATATTAAACACACAGAGAATATAAACAGAGAATTCAAAGAATATTCAGAAAATGATTAGTACCACACACCACCTTGCCCCCAGCCAAGAACACTTTGGCAATTTTTGCTGCTTTAAGAAGAAATCCTCAAGTAAACACTTGAGTCATTCCATAGAGACAGCACTTTAAACAAAAGTTGTTTTGGTTTGTTTTTTTGTGGTTTTTGTGTTTTGTTTTGTTTTTTAATTACTAGAAACGAATACAATCCATAAAAGAATGTGGAATTATGTAGAGAACATGTCTGGACAGTTAAACCTAGGATATTAATCATAGATCAGTTAGGGTTGGAAAGGACCTTAAGATCATCAAGTTCCAACCCCCCTGCCATGGGCAGGGACACCTCACACCATATCACCCAAGGCTTCATCCAACCTGGCCTTGAACACTGCCAGGGACGGAGCATTCACAACCTCCTTGGGCAACCTATTCCAGTGCCTCACCACCCTAACAGTAAAGAATTTCCTCCTTATATCCAATCTAAACTTCCCCTGTTTAAGTTTTAACCCATTACCCCTTGTCCTATCACTACAGTCCCTACTGAAGAGTCCCTCCCCAGCATCCCTATAGGCCCCCTTCAGATACTGGAAGGCTGCTATGAGGTCTCCACGCAGCCTCTTCTCCAGGATGAACAGCCCCAACTTTCTCAGCCTGTCTTCATATGGGAGGTGCTCCAGTCCCCTGATCATTCTCGTGGCCCTCCTCTGGACTTGTTCCAACAGATCCATGTCCTTTTGATGTTGAGGACACCAGAACTGCACACAATACTCCAAGTGAGTTCTCACAAGAGCAGAATAAAGGGGCAGGATCACCTCCTTCGACCTGCTGGTCACTCTCCTTTTGATGCAGCCCAGGATATGGTTGGCTTTCTGGGCTGCAAGTGCACACTGAAGCCGGCTCACGTTCAGTTTCTCGTCGACCAGCACCCCCAAGTCCTTCTCCGCAGGGCTGCTCTGAATCTCTTCTCTGCCCAGCCTGTAGCTGTGCCTGGGATTGCTCTGACCCAGGTGTAGGACCTTGCACTTGGCATGGTTAAACTTCATGAGGTTGGCATCAGCCCACCTCACAAGCGTGTCAAGGTCCCTCTGGATGGCATTCCGTCCCTCCAGCGTATCAACCGAACCACACAGCTTGGTGTCATCGGCAAACTTGCTGAGGGCGCACTCAATCCCACTGTCCATGTCAGTGACAAAGATGTTAAACAAGACCGGTCCCAACCCTGATCCCTGAGGGACACCACTTGTTACTGGTCTCCAGTCGGACACTGAGCCATTGACCACAACTCTTTGCGTGCATCCATCCAGCCAGGTCTTTATCCACCAAGTGGTCCATCCATCAAATTGATGTCTCTCCAATTTAGAGACAAGGATGTCGTGTGGGAGAGTGCCGAACGCTTTACACAAGTCCAGGTAGATGGCATCAACTGCTCTACCCCTGTCCATCAGTTCTGTAGCGTCATCATAGAAGGCCACCAAATTGGTCAGGCAGGATTTCCCCTTAGTGAAGCCATGCTGGCTGTCACCAAGCACCTTGTTGATTTTCATGTGACTTAGCATGCCTTCCAGGAGAATCTGCTCCAAGATTCTGCCAGGCACAGAGGTGAGACTGACTGCTCTGTAATTCCCTGGGTCATCCATTTTCCCCTTCTAGAAAATGGGGGTTATATTTCCCTTTTTCCAGTCATTGGGTACTTCACCTGACTGACATGATTTTTCAAATAGGATGGCCAGTGGCATAGCAACTTCATTCACCAGCTCCTTCAGGATCCGCGGACAGATTTCATCAGGACCCATGGACTTGTGTACGTTTAGGTTCTTAAGATGGTCTCGAACCAGATCCTCTCCTACAGTGGGCCCAAGGTCTTCATTCTCACAGTCCCTGCATCTGTCTTCCAAGACTTGGGTGGTGTGGTCACAGGCGTTGCCAGTGAAGACCAAGGCAAAGAAGTCATTAAGAACCTCAGCCTTCTAATGTCAAATGGATCACTACATCTTACAGAGACTAGTGTCTTAAGAATCACTTAAGTGTTCTCTTAAGAATCATTAGAACCTCCACAAATTGTTCAACAGTAAATGCCTCTCCACACTCATGTGGAATGCAGCAACGTGCAGCTGATGCCACCATCACTCAAGAACCAGTAACAAAACATGCATACCACCTCTCCTACCTGATTTAGGTCTTGTCCAACCTTTGAGCTCCATTCAGTCAGCGTTTTCTGAATGCAGTCCCGCACCTACAAAATATTTGTTCATGTTGAAAAGGAGCTTCATGTTACAGCTGCACAGAAACACAATGATTCATAGGCATGTGAGACAAACCACGCAGGTGAACTAAAGACACCATTCCTCCAACCACAGAAGATTCTTCCTTCATAGCTTCCATGTGAAACTTGTTCAAACTAGTTTACTTGCTTCCCTCTCCTCTTTCACAAACGGTTTTAGCAGTAATACAAGCATGTACTCAACTTATTTCTCAGACCAATGCCATCTGTAAAGCAAAGAACAATGCTAAGCAACCAAGAGCTACCTATTCCACTTTGCCAAACCACTAATGCTTTTAAATCCTTCAGACCCCACCCCACACTTGGATTTTCCTGCATCAAGAGATACAAAATAGATTTGCCTAAGATTCTAATCATGGATTTTCTCGAACCTAGTAAGGAGTAACTATTAAGCCAGCTAATTAACTGTATATTATAGCAGTGCTTCAGCTGTACCGATGCTCTAGCTTTCCTCTGATACATCTTGGGAGTTGTTACCCTGCAGGCTGAGTACATGTACTGTCAGGTCTGCTGTCTGCCACAGGTAGGCGCACTCTCATGGGCTGCGGCTTCACTTTTAGCAATACATTTTATAACTATGTAAACATCTAGTTTTTATATTATTAAATAACAATTTCCTGAGACACCTAACATGAATTCAGAGGATTCTTAATACCTTACACAAGCTAGAAGCCAAACACACCCCACCTCCAAAAATGCCAAAAGCCCAGGAGATCACAGAGTTTAAGACATAATACAGTAATAATATTTCATAAGCACAACATTTGCACATTCTTTCCCAGTCATTTAAAACGGCGTGGAAAAAAAAAAAATAACTAAGTCTAACAGCAAGAATTTACTCCCCCTAGTAAATCCACAATGCTGGAACTTTTCAGCCTATTTTGATGCAGCTTTTAACATTATCTTTTTCCTTTCAGAGGGAAAGTGAGACAGTGTTAAACATGTATATTGAATATACTGCTACTTTGCAACTGTCACACTTGATTTTTCTATTGCTGTTAGCATGGACCATTCCTCTGTCTTCAAAGCACATGACTGCCTTGCCCCCAGTACCATCTCTGACTGCTTTGGCCAGCTTTTCCAGATACAGCTACATCCCCAAACTTCTAATGTTAGGGTTCATAGTCTGCAAAATCTTAGCTTACATTCTGCCACTGACAGTTATACACACATCACCTACACCAACCAGAAGAGTTAAAAGCCAATTTAGTTTTGATCATTAACATCAATTGGTCGCTTCTAGAACCCCAGCAATTCTGGAAAGCAGGCAGCCCTATGTTTAAGCGCAGATTTCCCTGTAAACAAGTTAATTTGAATACTTTAACTGATTAGTTATGCACAGTGGCCACTCTTTATTTAGCGACCCTACAGGAGCTGCTCACACAGGTGTGCCCATTAGGATACAGCTACCTCTCTGGTGCAGGATCTAGCCCTATTTCATGCAGCTCACACGTTGTAATAAGCAGCCAAGCTAAACAAAAATGTTATTACTGCACAACAGCTAAATGAAAGTATGATGAATCCTTCCTTGTCATTACATCACCCTTCTAGTCACCTTTCTTACCGTTTGTGCAAGATTAATATGCAATAAACCAACTTCTAGACTATCAACAATGCCGCTACATAGTGATAACCAGCCAAAACCACAGTTCTTCTGATTAGCTGTTAAATGCTCGTTTTCAAATGGCTGTGTCATGACGAGACAGCAAATACACTAGCTCTGAAGTTCATGGCCGCAGGATCTCCAGGCATTTTATCAGGATGATTAAGTGTTGACACATACTGCTTAAGGTAACAGTTTGAAAGTGACAATTTAAAAGTTCTTTTAACTTTTTAACACAGAACGGCCGCAATACTCTTTTAAGAAGACAACAACGACTGATGTTCCCGAGACCTTAAAAGGAATTTCAGGTTAGAAAAAGCAACTCTGATCATTTGTAACGCAAGCTCGTATCTATTCCTATCTTCCTCTTGCTATACAGAAGTCTCGGGTCTCTCCTTTGCCATTACGGACAGTACTGGGACAGCGGTTTAACTCCTCATTTCCGAGCGCAGTCTGATCCTTGTTCTACTCCACAGCGCCTCAAGAGCCGCGCTTCCGGGGAGAGCTTTTCCTTTCATGGCGGACCCCGGACCACGCCACCCAACTCCACAAGAACGAACCCGGCGCTTGCCCAGAGCCCGCCCCGACGTGGCGCCTCGCGGGGAGGCCCGGGCCCGCCGCGCTCACCTCCTCGCCGGGGGTGGCCGGGCACTTCTTGCGCAGGCAGCCCCAGTTGAGGAGGTTGCCGGTCTGCAGCGTGAGGGTGCCCGCCCGCTCCAGCAGGGCGCGAGCGCCGTCCGTCCCCATCGGGAAGCCGGGCACGGCTACAGCGGCGGCTCCGCTCTCCGCCGCACCGGGCAGCGCCGCGCCGTGACTCAGCACAAATACCGGGGGGGGGGGAGATGCTTTGTAACCGTCCCCGGTCACATGGCACGAGCACAATGGGCGGCGGGGCGGGCTCAGCGCGGGAAGCAGCGCGACAGCCTGGCACAGCGCACCGCCTCACGGCCCCGCCTCACAAGCACCTCTACACAGCCCCGTCGCGCCCAGTCACACGGCTTCGCCTCACGGCCACGACGCACAAACCTTCCTCGCCCCGCCTCACAACCCCGCCGCACCCGGCCTCACGGTCCCGCCGCCTCGCCTCGCCTTACGGCCCCGCCTCACCTCACGGTTCCTCCTCACGGTTCCTCTGCACTGCCCCGCCTCACAGCACCGCTACACGGCTCCGCCTTCCGGTCCCGAAAGAGGCGGCTGCTCCCGCCCCGCAGCGCCCCCTAGGGGCCGGCTGCGGCGCAGCACGCGGGCAGAGAGGGGCGGGGCTTGGCGGAGGGGCGGGGCGATGGTGCCGGGCGGGCTGGCGGGAGGCGGGCCCGCGGGCGGGCTGTTGCGACCGCTGAGTGGAGTCCCTCTGTCCGCGCATCTGTCTCTCTGTCCATCATCTGTCTGAACGTGCATCTGTCCGATCCTGTATCTGTCTGCCTGCCCGTGCATCTGTCTCTCCGTGCATCTGTCTGCCTGCCCGTGCATCTGTCTGTCCGTGTATCTGTCCGTGCATCTGTCTGTCCCAATGTCTGTCCATGCATCTGTCTGTGCATCTGTCTGTCCATGCGTCTGTCTGTTCCTCTGTCTGTCCACGCATCTGTCTGTTCGTGCATGTGTCTGTCTGTCCCTCTGTCTATCTGATCCCCGACACACATCTCTGCTGGTACCACCCACTGGTTCCGCTGCTGCACCCTGAGCCGCCTGCCCCGCTCCTTGCCTGCGGCGAGGCCTCCATCACTGGTGGGACCATCGTATCACCGGAGAAACGTCACTCCTCAGCAGCTCTGCAGGCCTGGTCGTGTTAGTGAAACCATCTGGACTGTAGCCATGATGCTTTTAGGTGACAGACAGTCATTGGCAGACCCTAAGTGTCCCAAAGGCAAACCAAGCACTTACATGGTTGGGTTATGTCTACATTTGATGGCGCTTAAAACTTACATCTAAACCTCACTCCAGTTTTACACTAGCTGATCTCATTGCAGACACACCAAGGGAAACAAAGTGTTATGACTTGAGGGTGTTTTTAAGAGCAGGCAGCTTCTGGGAGGCCACACGATGAACCTTAAATTCCTTCTGTATTGGAGATTTGGGGTAGTGGTGGTTGGTGTTAACTACAGTTAAGGGGAACAGTTAGCCACAAACTAGTTGTGCTGTCAGCACAGCGATAGGAGCTGTGTTTCTAACAGATTTCCTTCCCCAGGCTACACGCTGTGCTAACACAGGGAACCGATTTGCATAACTTCTGTCAGCCTGAAGCACTGCCTGATCGCTTTTGTGTACAGAAGGTTAGTTTAAATGTTCTTTCTATTTGCCTTCTGATTACTTTTCCATATTGGACAACTTTCATGTGTTTGAAATGTTTTCCACGCTGTATGAACACAGAGCATCTGGGAGTGACACACACTGAGAGAGAAAACTGTCAGCTGATGGAAAAGCAGTAATTGTGTTTCCTTTGACATAAAACCCCAAAAGGTCCAACCTGGCACAAAATTTGACCATTCAGACTTGTGGTCATCTCGAGAAGGCGTGTACACCTCTCCATAGACCTCCTAGGCTTGCCCATATTTACACTAGGAGTGAATCCTGTCCTGTTGCGTGCTCCTGATTGGCTGTCCAGCTTTCCAGCAGAGGCCTTTTCTTTGGGTGAAACTTATTTTTTGATATTCCATTTAAGTAACTTTGATAGTTAGAATTCCATGGAATCAGGTTAAATTTAGGGATTGCAGGAGGTTTTCAAACAGCACACAGCATGTATCTTTCTGTCTAATGGAAATCTATGGCAGTGAAGAAGCAATGTTCCTTTAGAGCAGCATAGAACTTGCTGATATTTAATTACCTTAGCTCTAGAAAAAGGATATCATGTAAGGAAGACTGGGTGGAGGAAAAGCAGCACCAGCCTCTGTACTGCTTTATGCTATGCGTTTAATTCTCAGCGGCGGCAGGAACACATCACAGGAGAAGAAGGGATCTCAGCAGAGTTCTGTTGTCAGTCCGATCACCCCTGAAACACAATGTAAACTACCAGAGGAAGAAAGAAGGCTGTTTCTAGTGCAGGTTATCTCATGAAGCTACTTCAGAGCTGCAAAAAAACCCTGAAACACGATTGATTTCCTGTAGAAATTCTGCAACGTTCAAAGCAAAATAACCCTCCCCCCTTGACAGACAGGCCACAGAACCGACGCGCCAGGCGGTCGGTGAGCATCGCTCTCCTCTCCCAGCCGTGCGGGCAGTGCACGGAGCCGCCGGGGCCCCGCAGCATGGACCCGGGCGGGGCGGGGGGTCCGAGCTCCGCCTGATTGGCCGCAGCGCGGTGCCCGGGGCCGGTGCCGCGGCGGGAGGCGGCCGGAGGCGGTCCGCAGGATGGGCACCAGAGCCGGCTTCTTCGAGGTGGGTGCGGGCCGTGCCGGGGGGAGGCGGACGGGGCGAGCCCGGGCCGGGCCCCGCAGCATCCTGCCCTCGGCAGACGGGGCTGCGCGGGGTCCCGGCGGGCTCCTCTCTTTTCCCCCTCCATCTGCATTGGAGCACCCGGGAACCGGAGCCATCCGCTCCAGGGTCTGCCCAGCCAAGTGACTGCCCCTGGCGCCGGGCGGAGGGAGCCGGTGAGGGGGGGCTTACACCGCTCGGGATGGGGTTCCTTGGGGCGAGGGGGAAAAGGGGCTCCAGCCCGCCCTGTCCTTGCCTTTCCCGGGCACGCTCCCCTCGCCGCTCCTCCTCCCCGCGGCCCCGGTGGTCCTCGGACGTGGCCCCGGAGAAAGAGGAGAGAGGAGGAGTCCGCGGAGGCGCAGGATCAATGGCTCTGGGCTTCCCGGGGGTTCTCCGAAGCCGTGCTCAGGCTGCCGGGATGGGTCTGGCAGCGCATCCCGGCCGTAGGGAAAGAGCGAGAGCGAGGAATGTTCTCGGCACCTTCTGTCCCCAACTTCTGGGAAGACCCCGCCACCCGGTGCGTTCGAGTCTTGCGTGGGAAACCATAAATCGCCAGACGGAGTTCAGTACAGTCAGCTCCTTGTGTACAGAGTGCAGAGTAACGTGCACTGGAGAGTGTGAGGGGTAATGGATCTCACCAACTTATATAAATAGCCACACCGGCTCTCTGCTAGAATTAGTGAGGCTGTAGAACACAAAAATGCTTCGGAGTGGCTTGCGTTGCAGAAACAGGTCAGTACAAGCTAAACGGCAGCAATCCTGTGTTCCTGCAGGCTCACGCTCCAGTTTCTGCAGCACGACTTGCCTAAAAACAAACACACCTCCTTCCGCCGGGCACAATCCAAACCATGATAACATTCACAGAATTCAAAACTACCTGAAAAGTGGCTGCTCCTCTATTACTTACCATGGCCTAAAAGTTCTGATTTTGCTTTTCAAAGCTCTCATGGAATCCTAGGTTGGAAGGGACCCTAAGGACCACCTGCTCCAACCTTTCTAGGCAAAGCATGACCTAGACTAGATGTCCCAGCACCCTGTCAAGCCAAATCTTAACAGTGTCCAACACCAGGGAATAGAAATAGTAGAAAAGTGTACTGGAAATGACAAACAATTTAGGAAAATAAGCTGCCTCTGGCTCTTGCGAGTGCAAGGTAGGGACCTACAACCTCCTTTTCCTCTGCAGTGTTGGCTTCCCCGGTTGCTAAAAGGAAAAGCAACCAAGCTTTGCACTGCCTCCTGCATACCTACCAGTATCCCAGGCTCTTGGGAAATCCAAAAGGAGGAGCAGGCATATGTGTATTACCCTTCTGAATGTCTTTTGTCATTGTCTGCTCTGCAGGTTTGCTCTTCTGCCTGAACTTCTAAATAGCACTTGTTACTGGAAAACATCAAAAGCACAGATATCATTAATGTCACCTGACTTTACAGATGTGGAAACACACGGAAGTGGAGTGGTCTACTCCATCTTGCTAGGCACAAAGTCTTAGGTAGCTCTCTGAGCAGTGCTGTTGTATATCACTTTCTGCACTGGTCTCCTCACAGAGTTCCTTTCTGTTACAAATTCATTGATTTAGAACTCTGACTTGCATTTCCCCACCATGCATTCAAAACAGAGCTTTCAAAAGCGAGGTGGTAAGTGTCCCACCTCTCCCAATCTCTCTAGGTGTTACAAATGTTAACATTCCCTGTTTGAGGCATTGTAGCATTCTGAACTTCCCCCCATATATCTTTAAACCATTTACCCTTTATTGCTATTCTATGGCACTTCCTTATAGGAATCACGAGGCACTTTACGATCACCAAACTGTGGCTGACTGAATTGTTTAGAAATACGACTATTCCAAGTTTAGCAGAAGTTCACTGGTGGAATGTTTCTTCCTTTTTTGTTGAGTTTGTGCATTTGACCACACTTAGTACACAATCAATTTCATAGGTTCCTGAGAACATAGTATGCATGGATAAAATTACTCTTTAGTGACAGACCTACAAAAAGATGGGCAAGAACATCAGGCTGATTGTGAGTGTCCACTGGCTGTTAATTCCCTTCCTTTTCTTTATCGGAGTCTTTCTCAGTGCAGTCAAGATAGAAACACTTAAAAAAGAGGCAACATGGCATTACAGTGACTACTAAGAAGCCAGTGAAAGGCAGATTCAGCTTTGGAAGTACCTTGAACTTCTTATTTTGAATTAGCTGTGTTCAAACAGCCAAGAATTAAGAGCAACCACCTAATTCAGCTGGGTGTAATGCTGGGTGTAACGGATGGACAGCAAGAAAAACTAGTGTGTCTGAGTTATTTCCCTCTATTCATGTCTGTGGCAGAACCAGTGTGCAAAGCCACGTCCCTGTACTCCTTCCTAGACTTATGTCTCCCTGACTGCCTCTACATTTCTTATTCTGTAATAATGCCAGATTAGGTCTTGTCTACTTCAAGCATTGGTATGGTTCTAATTTCACCTCAGCTTTTTTATCACTTAATCACATAGGAAAAGCTTAAGAAGAACTACAGTTTAAAGAAATATGTGCATGCCTGAAAGTACTGCACCTGAGAATTTGAGGAGATTCACCTTCACAAATGTAGAGATTTATGGTACAGACTTGTATCTAGATAACTAATATTCTCTAGGAGTGCTCATTTCTCCAAATTGATTAGAGCTCTTCTGACCTATTTCACCTATGCTTCAGAGCTTATGATACAGTTTATCCTAAAAGTGCCTGCTTTTCTCTTTTCCATACAAAGTATGTCTATATGCCATCCTCGGATGTAAATGTCTGTAGTGGAGAGCTCTGAAGTTAGGCTGATGAATTCTACCTTTTCTTTCTGCTTTACAGGTGCAGGTCTGCAAAAGCATTTCACGTAAAGAAAATGGTGTGATGCTCTGACTTCTGGGGGGGAAAGATACTTGAACAAATGCACTCATACTGTAGAAAATCAGTGGCATAAGAGCTGCAGTTGTACTTTTGCTTCCTTAACTGGCTTGGATGTGAAGTGCCTTTTGTGAGCAGTGATAGCCAAAAGTGTTTTGGAGCCTTCCCTCCCTGAGGATAGATTGAACTGACATGTGCAGTACAGTCTAAAAGCAATAATGTACTGACCTCCCTTGCTGGCATTTAAAGTTTCCCCCCTTCTGATTGCCATGAAAACCCTCTGGATGCAAGGCAGGGGTGCCTGCTGCCAAGCTGACATTGCTGAGATGTCACAGCTCCTGTTACAAAGGCTTCTCCCACTCAGAGCTTTGCTGTCTAGAGCCTCATCGACTAAGAGCACTGAGAGCAAGTGCCAAAAGCAGGACTGCAGATGAGTTTAAGAGTCTGTATCCTCCAAGGGCTGCCTGAACAAGACAAGGCCACATGAGAGACATTTGAATGATCATTTAAAGGGACACTGGTGGAATTTTTGCTCCAATTTGGAGACATTTGCTCTGTTCTCACAAGTAACACATAGATTATTATCACAGAAAGAGATGAGATGATACGGAAAAATATTCTCCCTTTCTCTGCCTTCACCACTTCTCCACACACTTACCAACACATTCTAACACTTAGTTGTGCTGCTTCACTTAAAAGACAGCAATTTGTCCTTTTTTGTCTACGAAGCTTGAGAGAGAAACCCAATTTTGCATAGGAAAATATGCTAGTAAAACATTACTTGGGAGGAAGTAATCAGAATTTGAAGGCTATGTTTAAAATCAAGTCCTATTTTAGAAAAAATAATGGACTTCTCTGAAGCATATTTTAACAGGTTAATACAAATCTTGTAAATTCACCTGTCAGAGTAAGGTCCAAACTTCCTAGGGCTTCCAGTCTTCCTGCCCTGTAAAAAACAGCAGACCTATCCTCGATACCAAAAAGATAAAGGGAAAAATTGAAAAGGGGGAAAAAATATCTCTCTCTCTTCATTCTCTTCAATTCCATGTCAAAAGCATACACCGGATATACATTTTTGACACCTATACACCAAATGATCCATGAACAGTAGTAATGGAACTATAGATACTGAAGTTAAACATTGCAAATCACAGTGCAAAGAAATGATTATGATTTCACTAAGAATTTATAAACCTCTTCTACCTGAATATTATCACCATAAATTAAAGCCCTGAGGCAACAAACATTCTCCTGAACATGGAAAAGGCTACACAGTGGTGTTGAAAAACTTGGATGTCTACTTAGTGTTGAGTCAAAGCTGGCTGAGCTTCTCAGATGGAGTTAATCCAGCCTACCGCATAGTGACAGCGATACTCAGTGAATGATGTGACTCTTCAGTATGCCTGGGAAATTGGCAATGTGCAGCTCTCTGTTAGCCAGTGTAAGTAAATACCCACTGAGTCAGTATTCACTGGTGCAGGTTCCTTTCCCATCTTGTATGTCCTCCTGGAAGATGTCATGCTAGTAAAAGCTGGAAACCTTTCATAGGCTTTCAAGAGCCAGAATTTGCTGTGAAAGCACAAACCTCTAACAATCCTTCTTTTGTCAGAAATAAACCAGCCTCCCACTTTGAGGGAACACACCTTCCTTTTCCTTCCCGACCGTTCTTACACTGACTCCTTTTATCTCCTGCCAATTATATAAATGGATTTGTTTTTCTGAAGGATGACCATCTGTAGCTTTATGTCTGTTAACAGTTCTGGTCCAGGTCCACAAAACAACTTGTGGTTTGCCATGCCTTCAGGTTAGGCACCCAGCTGCAAAAGCAGATTGGACAATTTGGTTAAGGTATCCAAGTTTACATCAACTCTATCCCTTCACTCTGTGGTATCCCAAGCGGCATCCACTGTAGGGAAATGCTGAACAGAATCACAATGTCCAGAGACAGGAATTCAGAACTTCTCTTTGTTAGGAGACTGTGCTTTTCACTGGAATACACTCCAGCCCTTTCCTGCCTGTACTTTTTGGTCTCTCTTGAATCCTTTATTCCTTGATGGTGGCTAAAGCCAGCTATGGGCAGAGTGGGGAATGGCAGAAT